AGAGGGCAGCTACTGTGGAATGAAGAATGAGCTAGTTTGACCCCTCCATTTGGTAGAGAGTTGACTCGAGAGATAACAATGAAACCACAGTCAATAACACTGAATCTCTAAAATGATGAAAATAACTAGGGAATGGTTATTTCAGAAATTAAAATTTATATTCAGAAGTATAAATTAGCAGGTGATAGTTGTTTTATAGCCTTTAAATACAGTGATCTATAGTCAGCCTCTGATTTTGCAATAATCTTTCAACTGCTGGCAGTCTTGTGGTTTCTAGCTATACCAACCAAGGTATTACAGCATACATTGCTTGTTTCTTCAACTGCAAACAAGCACCTTTATTTAACTCCTTCCCATCAAACTGTATGGAAATAGCTGTTATATAAATGTGCATATTTACACATCCTTCCTTCAATGCTAACAATGTCCTTTCCTTGTGAACCCAAATATGGTGCTGATAATATGAATAGGTTCCCTTCTTTCTATCTCCTGGTGTGTCTTCTCTCCAATCCCTTGCGTTTTCTCAAGTGCTTCCCCAGAAGTCTTACAGAGCTTGTGGAACTGCTGTTAAACCAGCCTTCTCTGTTAATTGGGAGAGTTTTTCTGCTCTCAGGAAGGATAGTGGTCTTTATGATTTGAACCATGCGGGTTCAAGGTTAGCCAGCAGTCAAAGTAATTTTAACTTCCTCTTTGCTCCAGTAGATTTTCTTGTCCTGCTTCAGTCTGAGCAGGTAGGGTAGCTTAACCTGAAGATATGGTTTCCATTTAGAAATCAAAGATTGGTTAACATGTAATTTGCAAGTTGGGTTATGATTGTGAAAAGGTTGCAATCTGTTAGTTTTTTCTAAATTGAGAACTTGTAAAGCTTTGCCATCTTCAGGAAAAAGTCCATGCTTCTGGTGTTAGGAACATACATAGTATACTGGGAATCATGAAGAAAAACTTGAAGATACTCTCAGGCATACTTATTTTCAGACTAATATCGTACTTCAGTGGTCACAGTTGAGAGGAGCTGTTATGCAGTCTTTAATTAAAATGCATTGCCCAAGTTCTTGATAGCTTCCTGATTTTAAACTCCTGTATTTGAAGAATATGGAAATACATGCAAGGGTGTCAGTTTGTGTTTTATAGTAAGAAGCAGTTGACCAAATCTACCCAGTTCTCTGTGAGGATCTGCTAAATAAATTCTTGTCAACAGAGCAAGAAAGAAAAACTGTAACAGATGGACTGTGGATTAATCCAAACATTAGAACAACCTACGATACAGTAATCAACAGCAAGTCGTCCTAGAAAAGGGTTGCACTCTTTTCACCCGAGATTTTCCCTAAGCTCTTGGTGCAGCTGGGTTCATTTTGATGACTGAAGCAAACCTAAGGAGACTTGCATTAAACATAAGATGTTTTTGTCAGTCTGGCGTGCCAAAAAGATGGGCAGGAGATTCATGAGCAGGTTGCGGAAGACCAGGCAGTTTAATCTGCCCAGATTGGTAGGTTGTCTGAGGTGTATTGTGAGTAATAAGGTAATGATCTTTTATATTAAATATTTATGCTAAAATAGCTCATTATAGAATAATTTTGCTGAGATGTTTACTTATAAGTTGGTTTCACCAGTAAGAGATGTACGTTTAATTGGTTATGTAAATGCCATTTGATCAAGAACTATCCTTCAGTCCTATCTGAACTAAAAGTTAAGATAGACTTTAGAGCATCTCTTAGCAGAAAGGGTTGACAATTTTTTTTCTCCACAGTATTTGTGTCCTGAACTCCTGGGCTTTGGTTTAGAATACTGCATATACTTGTTTATGAGCCTTAAACTTATGCCAGTAAAAGTTTGTTGAACCAGAATTCTGAAATGTGTAAGAAAGAAATGTAAGAGCTTGTATCTAAATTTTCAGTATTGCTTTTGTTCCCATGCCTGAAGAGTTTAAGTTGCGTAATCTTATGTTTGAATATCCAAGTTCTGAACATTTCTTTTTCCTCTGTTTTTGGTCAAAACCTAACTGATATTGAAAATAAAATAAGTCCCTGCAATTGCTTTAGGTGATCCTTGAATTTTCTCTGTTAAGACAATCAGTTTTTTTTCCTTTAGGATCTGTGCTTATCTTAGCCAATACTCTGTTTAACCAAATGATGGTAAAACTAATATAAGACACTTTTCAAATGCTTCAGGGGGACTGTTGGTTTTTGTTTAGAAAGGGTAGTTGAGATATAACTGCTGTTTTCATTCACAAACAGGTTTTGCTGCTGTGCCTCTTTAATTTTAGGTATGCATTCTGCTTGTACAGTTATGCCCAGGAAAACTTTATCTGAGTTTAAAATATAGCATTATGTCATGTTTTGACTTGTCTCAGCAAGCTGATAACAACAATGTGCTTGGATAGAAAGTCAGAGGAATTCTAGTCCAAGTATTTGATGTTGATTTTTACATTTAATAACCACTGTGATTACTGTATCTTGCTAATTGGCCACAGACAAATAATATTATTCTGCAGCCACTATAAATGCAGACGAATCTTGCAGTAAATTTCTCAACCTGTAGAGATATACGTACTGATGTAGAAATCTTTAATTATGTGCTGTTTTGTTTTGGGGCAGGAATCTTTTCAAATCTGCAAATTCTCAATTCTTGCCTAATAGTAAATAGTGTTTTTTGTTTTGTTTTAGTGTGTGGTGTTTTTTGTTTGCTTTGATTTTAATTTTAGTCCCATCAGATCAATATCCAGAATATGGAAAAGGGGTGATGGAAGTTCTTTTGGAAGTCCTTTTAGGAAGTTCTTTAGGATGGAAGTCCTTTTAGGACTTCCTGCAGTTTCCTGATGAGCCTCCCTATTCTGCCTTTTGACTCTGAAAGCAATCATTCACAGATGCAATTCCAGCTGTGACATCTGTGTTGATGATTTTCCTTTCTCTGTATATTGCCTTTTCCGTGCAAATAGAACTTTTTCCAGTTTCTACTTGTAGGTGTTTGACCCTCTGTTGAAATGCTCTTTGACTGGAACGAGCCCTTGTTTTTACAACCTCCCACTGTTTTTTTCAGCCCTACAAGTGACCATTCTTCTAATCTGGACTCCTTTGTGCTATCCTGTTTTGTGCCATCTGTGGAGCTGTGCTTTGCCTTTATCTTCAGGTTGCTTTGTAGCATGTAAAAATCAGGGTTTTTCTCATTACCACCGTACTGGCTTCTACAAATAACTGCAACTGTATCTGCTTAGGCGTCAGCAGATCTTGCTCGGTATCATTGCATCCATATGGAGTGTAGGTGACACAGATTGCTGCCTTGCATCACCAGCAGGATTGCATAACCTCTTCCTTAAGTACTTTTCTAGATTTCTCTCTCAAATGAAATTAAATCATCATTGCTTCACTTTCAGGAAGCTTTTTATCCATGTGATGCTTTCCTGAAGTGCTGATTTCTAAAATGACTTTGTAATTGATGCCATATTGGATTGTTGGCTGTGTGGGAATCGGCCTTGAAAGAATCTGCCTTAAAACACAGCAAACCTCTCTTATCTTCAGACAGATTGATGTAACAGTAACAAAAATAGCTGCTTGATACATTTCTTGTCCATATATTGTGGCATTTTCTTCCAGAATTTTGCACATTCTTCTATGTGACTTTGTATGGGGCCTATGGGGCAAACAGAGAGAAAAAGGAATTCTTGAAGAAGTTCTTTTGAATGTTAGACAGATTCTTGTTCTCTAGGATATATAATAAACTGTATAGCAGTGTTGACATTCAAGGCCATATGTAGAAAAAGATTGAAAATATTTTCACCTTGACTCTTTATAAAAAGACTTGGTACTCAAAGTATATAATTTGTACCTTGTTCCAAACACCTTCAGTCATAGCCAGGGATTGATCAGTTTCTCTGGTAATAAATTCATAGCATTTTCAGGCTAGGTATGTTTTTTGTGTCTGGAAAAAGGTAGGGTTCAGGAAGTGTTGCAGTCTTCCTGTGAAAAAATTCCCATTATGAGAAGCTTGTCCATTTGAAAGAGTCTACTGTGTCTCAGGCATTTCTCAACTCCATTATCTATCTTATGCTCATAGCTTTAAGGACATTGCACAAGTCAGATCCAGTTTCATATAACTTGCAGTGATAAGCCATTGTATTTTATAAATATTAATAAAGTCTGTCTGAAAGGTGTGCTCAGAATATTGGCATGTGGTGTGTTATTGAGCTGTATTGGTGACTAGAAGTAAATGGTGCATTGATCTCGCTAAGACACATTTCAATTAATGTACTTATTTCTGCTTGTAATAGAAGCCAGCGGGAAAAAAACTGTTACTCAGAATAGGATAGCTGTCAGTAAGAATTTGTTAAACTGCAGATTATGTTGCACCCCAAGAAGTACGTGAGGGAATTTGGTAACTCCACTAAAATGCACATCATGAAGCAGTGGATTTTTAGAATTATGTGCCTGTGTTGTAAGGAATTTTTCTGACTTTGTTTGTCGTATGAAGAGTTTTAAAATTATTTAAAACTCTTAAGTTTTGAAATTATTGCCCTGGTGCTATGATCATGACTGCATAAATATATCACAAATTGTTTTAATAACTTTCGGCTTTCCAGAGATGAGCTGGTATTGAAAGCTTGACATTTAACCAATTTCAAAATAATCCCTCTGATGTTAGCTGGAGGATTTTTTGTTTACTAGTTGGCTATAAAAATTTGAATGGTGAGTTCTGTAAGGTAACTTGAGTTCCATATAATCTTTAAGCTAATTATTCTGAATTCTTTTCTTGCTATGAAGAGGGCAGAGAAAACCTATAACAGTAATAATTATCGTATGCATGGGAGAGCAAAATAATCTTACTGGAAAGTCATTAGTGAATAGTAAGAATTTTTTGGTTTTGAATTATTCTTGTGCTTTTGAGAAGTAATGTTGAGTCAGAAAGATATATATATATATTGTTTTCATAATAGGCTTACAGCAGTCACAGAAATGTGGTCATAGGTGTTATGAACATGACACATTATTCACAGAATAAGAACAGAGTGTGGACTCGTAGTGTTTAATCTTAGTCTCTGATTTTCTTGAGGATTAAAAAAACCTGAAACCACAGTAGAACAACTTCACTAGGAATCCTCTGATACACAACACAGAATGTTTTGTGGCACTGTAATTCACTTTCTCTATAGCTGTTTTATGCACAAAAGAACAGGGTAAAACAAGAAGAAATTAGCCAACAGTTGTTTCTTAAATATTTGTTTTGAACATGGTATTAAAGTAATTCTGCTCTGCGGAATGGTTTCATAAAGACAGAATCAGTGAAAAGTGCAGCTCTGCTCTATATTCCCTGTTTTATTTGCTTCAGGTTCATAATTTATGCAGGCAAGGAAGTGAAAAGATGCTATTGGATATTTCTACAGGCAGTGATTGAAACTTGGTTATTTTTGATCTGTGCTTTCTCCACCCAGTAGCTGTTATCATCCACCACCATCCTCATAGCTGTGAATTTGTAACGTTGTACTGTACCTGCTGCCCAGTTTCCCTTAAATATCTGTTGGCAGCTAGGAAGAGAAAGCAAGGTTTTCATCCTGTGCATTCTGAAAAGGAAAAATAAGGAAAACCTTTGCTTGCTGCCTTTTTTTTTTTTTTTTTAATTGCTCAAGATTATACTCATTGTAATCACAGGTAGAGAGGGAATGTAAGAGGTAGAAAGCCGTGGAAGAAAAATAGCATCAGCTAGCAAGAATTTTGTTTTCCTGGTTTGTAAACGATGCTGCTGTAATTCTATCTGCATTTTTTTTTTCCTGCTCATTCACCACTCAGCAGCTGGTAGGGAATTAAGACTGCCTGGCAACCACCTGCAGAGCTGCAGAGATGAATTACATTTTTGGAAATAACACACTCCTCTATTCTCGCGCCAGTCGAGGCAACGCTGGCTCCAGCCACAGCTCGGTAGGCCCCAAACAGAAGCAGTGGGCAAAGAAAGGCTCAACAGATGAGTTACGGGCTGAGCCTTCCCGGTGGCAGCAGATAGTGGCATTTTTCACTCGGAGACATGGCTTCATTGACTGCATTTCTGTGGCTGCCAGCTCCACCCAGGTAATATGCCACATGTTAAAGTGATTGTGTCTGCATGTTTTCTGGTTACTTGCTAGTCAGAAAGAGCAATTATTTATATATGCATGATTTCGTATAATCTCTTATTTATGGATGGCGTTTTCTGTCTGCTTTCATTTTCATATCTTAAAGAGCTCGGTATGATTTCTAGCATTAAAGCATGAAAATGGAAACACTAAATGAGGTCAGACTTTCATTTATTTTGCAAGTGATGAGCCTCCAGCAATTTTAAATATAAGATACCCTAATGAAACAGTGAAATATTGAAATGTAGGTTGCATTCTGCTGCCTAGCTCTGGAGGGCAATAACATAGTTAAGAAATATCAGTTCCATAGCTCTAGTAAGATGTCAAATCAAATAGACTGCGTATTTAATGGTTAAGGAATTTTACATAAAGAATTAAATAATTTAAAACCTTAACTCTAGCTGACACAACAAATTCAATTCTGTAACAGCTTTCTAGGTTTTTTGGTTACTAATAATACACAGATGAAGGAATGTCTCCCTTACATACAGGGTGCACATTCAGTAGTGCAGTCTGTAAGAAAAACATGACATTTTTCAGCTTCACTGTCCATCTGCTCTATGTGAGGTTTGTGTTAATCATCATTCAAAGTCAGGTAAAAGGAAGCAAGTTAAATTTTAATTGTGTGGCTTTTGAATGACTTCTTAAGGTTGACACTGAGAGAAATTTTAATTTATTGGTATTAGAAAATTAGTATCTCTTTGGAAAATATGACTAAGACCTATGGAATAATACTGAAATGTCAAAATTATTTAAACATGGGAGATTAGGTTTGTTTTGCTACTGTCAAGTGAAATTCATCATTAGTCAAGATCTCTTGACTGATTTAACTTGAAATACTACAAAAACTTATATAAGAAGGAAAAATTTGTTACCCTCAGACACTGTAATTTTATTAGGATAATTTCTATCTGTTAGTAGTACAAGGGTGGTAAATTGGCACTTCCTCTGAAATCTGTTTATTATTACCTGTTTTGCTTATAGATTTGGAGTAAACAATGAATAGGAGAGCCTAGAGGGGAATTTTGACTTTTTTGTTGCTTCTTGTATATGATGTGGAAGTTGGATCCTATAGTTTCCATAATGGGTCATTATACAACTCCAAGTGATGCATTAGGTAGACCTAATAGCTTTTAAATACATTTTTTAAAAGTAAAAATATATAGTATTAACCTTTTGAATAAATATTATAGTTGCTCTCACTTGTTTAAAACTTGAAGAAATAATATTGGAATGCGTGAATTGGACTGACTAGGCAGGCCTAGAAATCTGCTTATAAATAAAGTATGGAATGCCCTCTGCTTTGAGTGAGGGTTGGACCAGGTAAAGTTCCCGAGATCCCTTCAATCCAAAGTCATGATTCTGTGGATATAACAGTGTTTGTTCTATTTTTCTGCTATGGAAAAGATTGCTTACCTCTGGGAAAGCCTGCCAGATCTTTTCATAGCTGTGACAGTTCTTAATTAAAAATAACGGCTTATACATGTTCATGGCCAGAAGGAGGGGAAAAAACATAAAATATTTTTTAGTGGTTGGTAAAAAAACCTTAATGAGCATATTTAGAAGTCATGCACTGAAAACGTAAGAGCTTGTTGAAGCCACTTCCTCTGGAAGGGTGCTGTACTATGCTCACACCTTATCCAGCCATTGCAGGTGTTCTTGCCTCAGGACAGAAAAAGGCTTTTGGAGGTTGTTCATTGTGGTGCAATTTTGTTTTTCAGTTCTCTTCAGTTTGTGTTCTGTGTTGTAGCATTCTGAACATTTTTGTTACCTTATATTCGTTCATTTGAGATACACCCCCCTGATTTGAATGTAATAACATTAGCAGAGTCCAAATAAGAATTAGATGTGAACTACTTCTCTGGCCTGGCCTGTAGAAATTCTACCTGTGATTGTGAGCTTTATCGAGTCATTGTTGTGACATTGTGATTTTTAACAGATACAAAATCATTTGGTGGTTTTTCCAGTAGCTGTCTCCTGTGTCCCCTGTGAATCTGCTACAAAGCCCTCAGTTTTAGCTGTCCCTTCATTTGCTTGGCTTTCTTGGATGGCATAAATTGGTCACACTTGCTTCGTTCCCTCCATCTCCAGTGAAAGGGAAATGACTCCTGGAGATGGGACGTGCCTGTCCTGCTCTGGGACCTGCTTGGGTCACCCTTGCCCCAGCAAGATGGTGAAAGGACTTTGGATTTTGAAGTAGGGTCTTGTATCCTAAAGAAACAAGCTGAAGTTAATGATGGATATGGTAGCACTGCTTTTTGCTGTAGTTATCCCTTGGTTTATGCCCAAAAGAATGCACTCATGCCCAAGTGCATGGTGCCCAGCTACCACACCAGACTTCTTTATGAGTCCCGGAAGCAGATTTAACATTCTCAGGGATTTGATGCCTTTATTGTTTCTTCTTTATCATTCTCTGTGATGTGATGTTAGTCACTCAAGTAGAAGAATTAATGAATTTGATTAGGAGCTGAGATATCAATTTTTGTCATCAGATTTTGAAATTTCTTTAATAAAGGCCAAATCTATGGTATAAAATGGAAGGTAACAGTAAAACCAAGCATATAACAAATTTATACTGTCGCAAGGGTGAATAACTGTGCCATGAGCTTGGTAAATATACCATTATGCAAATGACAAATACTGGTAATTTGAAGTGCTGTCCGAAGAAGAGATATGCATCAGTGTGTCAAGGATGATACCTGTATCAAGATCACTGCTTTTCTCTGAAGTCTTTCCAGAGCTCAGAGAAGCCCCTGTTCTTGCCAGTCAGTCCAGCTGTCATGTTTTAGAAAGCATTTTAACAGTTGGTATTTGGCCCGTGGTGTGCTACAAATGCACAAACTGCTTTGTCTGAATTCCACATGTCATTAAACTGGTTCTAACAGCAATCGCTGAGACTTTTCTTAGCATATAACTGAGCATGCACTTGCAGCATGTGATACTGAATTATTGTTTAGCTCTTTGAATATCCTGTGCTCATTTTTACTTCTATTTTCTAGGACATATTTTAGGAAAGATGAAAAGGATCAGGACAGAAAAATCATCCTAAATCCACGTAGCCATTTCAAAAACTTAATTTTAAATTTCAGAGCTTATCAACTGCTTTTGTGAGTTGTTTGAGCTCTGTCATTTCTTGACTTAGGGTATCTTCCTTTTAAGTTCTTGATAAAAGTTTTACTGCATCATCAGTCCTAGACTATTGCTCTCAGAGTCATTGGAGTACTGTGGACATAGTTCTGGCATGTACAAAATGCTACATCTAATCACACAACAACATAGAGGTGTTGTAAGGCGTGTTAAGAAGATAATGATTAAAAAAAAAAGATCTCTACCCTAATCCTTCTTTTACTGTACTTCTTGAAAAATTGATTTCTTAGGGAAATATTTATTATCCTTCCTATATATTGAAGTTTTGAAGTATTTATATATTGTTGCTGCTAATATTGTGATGAATGCAGGAGAAAGCAGCTTTAAATAGTACATGCTTGGAATGATTTTCTCTATGGCAACACACCTTCTGAAACTGAAACATGAGTTTTACTGTACTAAGTTTCCTTCCTAATTCTTGATTTTAAGCTATGTAAAATCACACAATTGTAAAAGTATGAGTTTATTTTGCAAATTAGTTCTGACACTGGTTGCATTTTCCGTAAAGTGGCATTGTAGCAGTGATGAAAGCAGTATGAATTTATTCTGTAAGAGGAATGCATTAATATGTATTCTAATCAATAGGCCAAAAAGCAGGAAGTTCTTGGTAGTTTAACCAAAGCATCAAAGGACTTTCTCTGGAAGCTTTGGATCATTTTGTAAACATTTTCTGTGTACAGTAGAGGTGAAAACTTCTCAAGACTGTGAAATTTGCTTGACATTTTAGAGATAGGCAGTTTTAAAATTATAATAGTATCGATAAATGTTCGGAATATCTGGCACAACTCATGTAAAGCCGTGTAGACTTTGTCAGCCTCCTGCTGGTTCCCGGCTGTGGGCAATGGTCTGAAGTCGGGCCTGTGCAGTGTTGGGGCTCTGCTGTTCCCTAAGCCCTGCTGTGACTGCGGGGCTGGCATGTGCAGGTTGTTGCCTCAGCTAATCGCAGCAGTGCTGATAGGAACTGAGGGAGTGGTGATAAGAACTGAACCGGCGCTCCAGCTACCTGCAGGCACTGCTTCCTGCCAGAGGGGTTTATGTTCCACCTTCTCTTTCCTGTTCTCTCCCGGCTCTGTCTCGCTCAGAGTTGGTAACATAATTTCTTCATATTTCTGTTGCATTGTATCTCAAGAAAATTACTTTTTCCAGAATGAGTCAGAAATCTGGTAAACAAAGAAAGAGACACAGAAGTTTGTGTTTTTGGAGTTCTGCTGCTGCTACTACTGGGGCTTTTTGCCTGCACTGTGCTCAGGAATCTGAATCTTCAGGCAAGGCAGACACTGGATCCCCTCTTAATCCATTGTCTTCAGCTAATTCAGGTGGACTAACAAGGTCTTGCTGTATGAAGCCCAGTGCATGGAAGCCTGTGAAAAAGGTAGGACTCTTTAGGGCTGTTATATAACTTTCCTAATTTATTTTATATTGTGATAGTTACCCTCACAGTTGAGGCTTGTATTGATCAACAAAGGATTTTGAAAGTCAAATACAGGCCAGTCTGTCTTTTCACCAGCTGTCAGCTTACTGAACAGCTCTAGCATGGCTCCTGGAGTATAGCATTTCTCTTTTGCTGCCAAAGCTGCTGCACATGTTTCAGTTAATACAATTATTTACTAAATTACTGTCTTGACAGAACCACTGAATCTAAAGTGAAAATTGTCTTCTTCCTGTTCTTCTATTTTGGTCCACAATATCAACAGCACTCTCAATTATGATTAAGAATGGACAGGATATTTCCTTTACTTTGAAGACTGTAGCTCAACAGATGCTCCTTAGATGCTTTTAGAAAACATGACTCTTTTAGAATGAATGATC